GTTCAATGACTCTGGCAATGCATTCAAGGAAGCCAATGGTATCATTCTTTACATTCTTAGGCGAAGTAAAAGGTGAGCTGCTTTTTGTAAACAGCCTCTGTGCGGCGTTATATCATTCTTGCGTTTCCACATACTTATAAGAATTTCTTACGTGAGATTTCTCAGATTCTTTATTGTGTGAACGTCATTAATTTGTTAGAGAAGAGAGGTACTTCTCATATTTGTTTCGAAACTTTTCAAATGAAAAAGGTAAGTTATAACATATTATGAGAAGCGAATTCTATTGTTTATTAACCATTTGTATAAAAAATGTAAGTGTTCTCCTATCGATGATTAGTAATCACTAATTAGGCAATGCTTTTACCACACCTAGTATGGCGTTCTCGCTGTGCTCATTCTCAATTATCTGCCTGGCAACGCTCATTTAGTTTCATCTTCCCAAGTTCGCTCATTCTCGGGGGCTCCTAACAATATTTGAGTTTCGGGTTCAAGGGAAACTGTAATTCCTGGAAAAGAAGCCGATGCACTCGGACCCGGATAAATGCTGATTCAAGCATGAATTATGGAGGCATCTTGGGTACTTTTTTTTTCCCCTAAAGAATTAAAACGAACCAAGGCAATGTCCCTTTGTGAATCTTCTAAGGGGGTGCTTTGAGATTTATCTTCTATGCAAAAGCGACTTCCCGTCGTAGTTTTGTCCAATTTGCATGGAGACATAAGAGTTTTCCTCTAAACCACCGAAAGGGAAAGGGAGAAACAAGAATTTCCTCTTTTTATTTTCATTTTTGTAAAGAATAATTCCACCTAAAACAACTGGCTTCGTGCATCCAGAACTTTTTATCTGAGTTCATTAGCTTTCGCTTCATTGTGTTTTGTTCTGCATGTTTAGATGTGAAGTGTGAACGTAGAAAATAGAATGTAGCTGAATTCGACTTAATTTGACGGTCAAGAACAACTCGGCTTCGTGCATCCAATCTGAACTATACTATTTCAAACCAGAAAGGGAAAATAAAAAGAAAAGCATGCAAGCATGCTTATAATAAAGCTCTTCACATTGGCTCTGTTTCCAATCAACTTCCAGCTTTACATACACAGACAGCATGTATGTATAACAATCTTCAATTGTAAAAGCTTGGATATTTCTTTTCGGTTGAATAATGTGAGCTTGAATTAGTTTGACTTCTTACTCTCAGTCTTAGATTTGATGCAACCAACTGGCCGCAAGTCAAACATTGGAAAAAGATTAAATATATTATAACACCACCCTTTTCTTTAATTTCGATTTTGGAATTGTACGTGTCGGTAAATACATCACCAGAACATGATGGTCCATGTCTATATATTCTGGAGAATCTGCATGAGTCAATGCTTCTCTCTCTCTCTCTCTCTCTCTCTCTCTCTCTCTCTCTCTCTCTCTCTCTGCTCTTGGTCTCTCTGCAAATTTGGTTTATGACAATTTGAAGATCATCTTGAACACAAGAACAAGGTGATAAATCTTTTGATCCAACATGGGGCTTAAAAAATGAAGCAGCAGAGGGCAAGAACCAATTCGTAGAAATGGACACTGTAGAGAAGCGGTTGAATGAACTGGGCTACAAGCAAGAGCTCAGAAGAGAGATGGTAACTTCAATTTTTAGCATATTTCCCCTCTCTTTTTCCACGCTTCAATTGTATAAAAAATTGCTTTCTCTCATATATATATATTTTTTTTGGTGGCGGACTCTATTCAAGACTCTTGCAATATCATTTTCGACGATGACACTCTTCACTGGGATCACTCCTCTGTATGGATCAAGCCTTTTGTATGCAGGACCTGCAAGCTTGGTTGGGAATGGGTTGTGGTTTCATTCTTCACTTGGTTTGTTGGGATCGCAATGGCTGAAATCTGCTCTTCTATCCCGGTTTGTTCCGCGTCACTTGTTCTCCTTTTCATTTTTTGTCATATTTGTTTGTCAATCCAGTATTATCTTTGAAGTGCTTGGTGTTAACTTAGGATAGTTTGATTGTGCATTTAGTACCTTTTGACTCTTAAGAACTTGTTTGAAAGTTATGCAGGTGGTGTCATTACTCTTAACAAAAAAGATTGTTTATCTGAACATAATGATTTATCTTGTGTAAAAGAAGGAATCTGTTTTGGGTCTAAAATGGACTCCTCTAGTCATAACATCTTACATGAATTTTGAAAAACAAACGGAAAGGATACAGGAAGTTATGCTGGTGAAATTGCAAACTGCAAAGCTCTTTCCTTAGCTGAAATGTTTGGCAAATTTGAACCTTATGGAAATTCTTTGTTCTTCTGTTTCAAGAGACGATAGCAGAACTGGCCCAAGAAGACTAACAAGAACACTTTATAGAAGGGAAAGTGGTGCATGTAAAACCATTTTGTCGAAACTTAGTTGCTGGTCCGTTTTCCAACAGAATTTAAAGGAAGTTGGGAACAAAGTCCTCCAAAGTACTAAATGCTTCATTTTCCTTGATATAGGTTTTACTTATGCTATTTGGAGGGTTTCTTTCAAAAAAGAAGTTCATGCTTTTCTGAGATATTTAATGATCTTATCTTTGTGAACTTTTAACAGATGACCGGTTCCCTTTATTTTTGGGTTGCCCATCTCGCTGGCCCCACGTGGGGCCCATTTGCTTCATGCTGTTGCGCTTTGTTTGAAGCCATAGGCCTCGTTGCTGGCATTGGTACTCAGGCAGATTCCGTATTCTGTTTGCTTCTTGTTCTGTTTCATGTTGCATTACTTCTTCGAAGTATCTATCAAAGCTTGGTGAGTGAATTGATCCCATGAGTGGTTTCGGAAGGCATATGCAGGATCACAAACCCTTCAGAGTATCATATTATTGTGCACTGGCACAAACAAAGATGGTGGCTACCTTGCGCCAAAGTGGTTGTTCTTATGCGTGTACATGGGTCTTACTTTCATATGGGCAGTCCTCAACACATTCGCGCTTGAAGTAATTGCCTTCATCGAAATAATCTCTATGTGGTGGCAGGTATATTAAAAAACTCAAGCATTTTCTATGTGTTAGAGTAATTAAATATTAAACTACGCCTTCATCTAATAACTTAAGCTTTTGGGTTGGAATTTCTATCATGGTATCAGAGCAGGAGGTCTTGAGTTCAAATCTTTCCAGGCCCCTATTTGCCTCCTCAATTATATATTTCCATGTCTAGGCTTAGGCCAAAGTCCAGCCTATGCGTGAGGGGGAGTGTTAGAGTAATTAAATATTAAATCACACATTCATCTAACAGCTTAAGCTTTTGGGTTGGACTTTCTATTACTATCAGAAACTTAATGTATCAATAGTCTGTGTGGACCAAAATAAGTGACCTATGAGATTATTTCAATTACTAATCAAAGCTGCATTTCCTTTTCCTTTAGTTGATCCGTGGAATTGTCATAGTTATAATGCTTCTGCTCGTAGCACTGACTACACAGTCTGCGTCTTTTGTGTTTAGCCATTTCGAAATGGCCGAAACAACTGGGATATCGAGCAAACGTTATGTGGTAATTCTAGCTTTTCTTGTCAGTCAGTATGCACTTTACGGGTATGATGCAGCTGCGCATCTAACTGAAGAAACTAAAGGCGCTGACAAGAACGCTCCCATTGCGATTCTTACCAGTATAGGGATCATTTCAGTGTTTGGATGGGCCTATATATTGCCTCTTACTTTTAGCATTCAGATAACAAACTCTTCATATCTACTTATTAAGTGAAAATATTTCTTTGTTAGAAGTAATGAAGTAGCAAGTTGAATGAGGAAAAAATTTGCAGCTTCATAAGACAGAACACGCAATTTTACCTCTCGTGGATTTCTAAGTTACTCCAACTTATGATCCTACCAAGGAGATGGCGGGTGTGTTCGTTCCAGCTCAAATACTCTATGATGCATTCCATGGGAGGTATCACAGTGCTACTGGCGCAATCTTCTTGCTATTCATTACATGGGGTTCATTCTTTTTTGGTGGGCTTTCCATCACTACCATTGCAGCAAGAATGGTCGGTATCTATTCCTCTTTTCCTTTGTTATGCTTCACCATCCGAAAAGTTTCAGGTACTCTGTCTATCGATACATAACCTGTTCACCACGGTTCTCTTCAGGTATATGCGTTGTCAAGAGACATGGGCATCACATTTTCATTGATATGGCAAAAAGTGCATCCGAAGCACAAAGTCCCATCTAAAGCAGTGTGGCTCTGCGCGGCCATCTGCGTTCAACTTGGAATTTCAATATTGAAAGTGAATGTAGTCTTCACTGCCATAACTTCCATATGCACGATAGGATGGGTCGGAGGATACGCAGTCCCGATATTCGTGAGGATGGTCATGGAAGAGAAGAATTTCAAGCCCGGGCCATTTTACTTGGGCAAGGCAAGTAGACCGATCTGTTTGATAGCATTTCTGTGGATGTGTTATACCTGCTCAGTGTTTCTTCTGCCGACTCTGTATCCCATTACTTGGGACACATTCAACTATGCACCGGTTGCTTAGGGTGTGGGTTTAGGTATGATAATGCTTTGGTGGGTGTTTGATGCCCGGAGGTGGTTTAAGGGACCAGTTAGGAACATCGATGCACAGAACGGAAAGGTATGGTCCAATGCTCTTGTATCCGATGCTTCGCTATAGTCAATTGGTTGCCCCTAGAATGATTTGAAAAAAATTCTATCGTGTTCTGCCTCAGGCATATGTCATGAGCATTCGTACCAGTGCAAGACATAAACACTTAGTTAACATTCCAAAAAAGCATGAAAGCTCAAATTTGTTCAAAGCGCAGAACTAGATCTCCTGTCTTCACTTCACTCAGCAGTCCCTGATGCATCTTTGGTCGATCGGTGAGAAAGCTTGAGAGGTGATGTAACTGCAGAATATCATCCCCGGTGCATCATATCAAGTTTTTTCGTCAGCATGATAATCCGCACATAAAAGATTGTTGTCTGCCAGGGCTTGACATACTTATAACCCACCTCAGTCCCCGGCACCACAGGAAATCTTGCTCTATTGTAAGATAACACTAGATTGACGAATTAATCCCCAGTCGAGTGGTGTACAAAGTCAAAGAAACATATGCGGGATCCAAATTAAATCCTTGTCGGAAAAGGGAAGCTATGGAACTAATTCTGACACAAACTGAGAAATGAGAAGTTTATTGCTGGCTGGGCAACTTTAAGGGTGCTGGTCCTCTATCTCAGATTTAAATTTTCTGTCTCCCACATGTCCCATTTGTTGGCTTCACATTAGATCGCAACATATGTTTACCGAGATATCAGCCTCGCCACCAAGTCCTGTGGCCATGGAGGTGTCGATTCTCTAGATCTCGAGGCGGTGGCTCCTCCATGGCCATGGAGGCCGAGCTTCCAGATCCGAAGGGGACGGCCCCTTGTCGGCTCGCGGGGGAGCTCGATCCCATGTCAATTGTACATTCCTCTATCCCTTTTGATGTACAATCGATACTGATAAGGGAATAAATCTGTGATTTCGATATTCTCCATTCTCCTAACCACAGTCTAAAGCTTGAATTCTTAGCCACTACATCAGCAGACACCTCTTTTCCTTCAACCAACTTGATTGCATAAGTTTCAAACTTATCGAGTCTATCCCAAAGAAAAGCCAGGTGTCTAGGGTCACTCTGGCTCCTAATGTTGTCCAGCCACTCCTTTGCTTCCTCCACCCTTGACCAAAAGCAAGCGTCTTGGGTCAAGCCTGCATACCTGGTCCTCCTATTGCTCAGTTTCTCGGTAACAACTCTCTCAATCCACCATTGATCGAAAATTTCGTACCTCCTCTCTCTTCCATTGCTTATGTAGTGGCCTTTCTTAAGGTGCATCCCCGACCGATAATACTCCGCGATATCCAATGGCTCCACAAGAAGCATGTAGGACTGTGCCGCGTTTACCCATTTGGACCTTCTGTGCAAATCGTGTGGGAGCTCTTTCCCGTCCATCATGCGTATGACTTTGTCCCAAAAGGCCGCAAGCTTGTACCGATTCATGTTAACATGGGACCCTGTCCTTGAGGCCCCCCTATGCTTGAATGAATCATAGTATCCTCTTTGCTCTTCGGACTTATCGCAACAAGCTTTATACCACTCTATCTCCGCCCTATAAGGAGTGATTTTGGATAGCCTAATGGCTAAGTCGGCGGCATTTAGGTTCGGTGCGCGCCCCATCGGCCTCGTCATCTTTAAGCAATCTTTTGCCATCGGTGCAATCAATACCTGCAAAGTTGGGGATCAAAGAACTTTTAAACTCGAGGAATTGCACCCAAGAATAAAACATAGATCGATACATTTACAGAATGCGATCACTCGACGATTTTAGGTGCCGTGTTCCTACCTGTCGATAAGTCCCTGAGGAGTTCAAAGCCAATGAAAGACTTGCTTCATAGCTTGATTCAGAGAGATCTCCTTCCATGAAGCTTCTCTTCAAAGACTGATGAGTCACTCTTTCAACATACCACCCATACTTAAGGTGCTCCTCAATGATACAATTTGGAGAACCTGTCTGTAGCATCAAATGCATCATCTTGTTGATCGATACAACATTGTCCAAACAAATGGCGCCCTCATCTGAACAAAACAAGTAATTCCCAAATGGCCAAAACGACCTCCCTGCCTCACCTTCCCCTGCTTGCACCAGGCGCTCCATGTTGGCCACAACGAAGGAAAATAACCAAGCTTTGTCTTCTTCAGTTAATTGGAGGTTAGCGAAATTCATAGAGTTCGGTGCCATCATATATGTGTACCAGAATCTTACGAGGACCTGCCACTGGGGAGTCGGAACAAGTGATTGGTCGAGAGATAACCTCGGCATTATATCGTGCGTTGACACGATGTTGCAGAAGCTGCCGCCCCATCTTTCTTGGAGGATGGCTTGGGAAAGCGACTTGTTGCCAAGGAAAGGAGAGCCGAAACCAATGCATAAGACCGAGATGGGTGGGAAGATGGATTTGAGCTTGGAGAGGAGCCGAAGAGCTGTGAGGAAGGCAATTGATCCTCCTATGGAATGGCCTGTGATCACTATTGACTTGGTGTTTTCCAACAAGCTGTCAATCTGCATGCATGTTCAAGATTTCCTAAAATCTAGTTAAACAATTCCTGAAAAAATCTCGATTACAACGCTTCAAAAACTTCACTTGAAAATCAACCAGATCATGTCAAATAAGAAGAGTTACACGAAAGGATCTGGTAGAAAATCACTGGTCGTACTGCAATTGCTAAACATACGGAACTGTTTATGAATCAAGTTAAAACAACACTAACATGTTCAGCAAATGATGATAAGTGAGCAAATATGTTTAGCACGTGTATAGAATGTAATGACAAAATGCGAACACTGTTCGTGCCAAGCCCACGTGATTCTCTTCTCGAGCTTGCCCAGCCCACCTCGGACAGTCCAAGCCTTAAATAATTTAATGTTGTAAGCATCGGCGAGCCTGGACAAGAATTTTTAGGCTTGGGACTAGGCCCAGTCCGTTGAGGCCCGCCCATTAATTTGGGCATATTGCCTATTTTTATTAATCTTGCGGAATCATTTTACGTTATGTTTATTTGAGTGAAAGAATTTTTTGCGAATTAGTTTTTTAGACTTTCGCGCGTTTAGTTTGCTGAAAATAATCAGTGAAAACTATTTACGGTCAAATTAAATATGCATGCTTAAAGTTAGGAAAATGAATTCTTTAAGAGTGTGTTTGCTTTAAGGAAAATTTCATGATAAAAGAAAATAGTTTTCCTGAAATCATATTTCAAGAAAATGTCTTTTCCTTTTTATAAATAAATAATGTGCGGTTTTTTTTAGTTTATTTAGGCCTAGTATTCATATTCATATAGTCAAACGACTCTGAGCTAATGGGAGCTAAAATATTAACATTTTGCATTTTGTCAATCTGTCCTCTTGCTAATCCGTGGAAAATTTAGCGGGGGGAAAGCAGAAAGCCGACTACACACGCAAACTTTTCGAGCGAACTTGGCATTTGATGGGTCAACGACAATAAATTAAATAGTTGAGCTCTAAGCTTTAAGGCGGCCGCTAAAATCAAGCATAACTTATTGGGTGGACCAAAAGTATGACTTCTGAAATCAAATTGAATTGCTAGATGAGATGAGTCTTACGTGTAACTAAAGTGAGATGACCCTAATCACTGGAGGTTGCTCAAGTGGCCACCATTTTCACATGGGAAGAAAAATATGGGGAGTTCGAATCTCCACATTCTCAAGAGAGTTAGGAGTGTGGATGTTTAGTTTCAGACATGGAGTTTGACTTTTAAGAACGAGTTAAAAATTAGAGTATTACAAGATAAAAGAAATAAAAATTTAAGAACGAGTTAAAAATTAGAGTATGACAAGATAAAAGAAATAAAAAAGTGAGCGGACCCGTTCTGCCTACGATGCCTAAATTGCATGCACAGCTAGAACTCAACTCTTGTATATTGCTAACCTGGCTTTGAAAATCGGGGCGCGAATGATATTGAAGGAAGAGGTGAAGCACTCCGGAGTGGACCATGACCGGCTCCTCGCCGTCGTAACGGCATTTCAACGGCTCGAACAGCCCATGGCCTGCTACATCCAGCGGCACCAGCATGCCGTAGTTCGGATCCCAACCGAGCACCGGCATCTCTTGGACGCCCGAGAATGCCACGTGCCCCACGCCCCCGACTTGCTCCGCCGCGAAGGCACCGCGCCCCATCGCGTTCGCGGTGCCGCACACCCTCCACGCCTCCTTCAGCAGCGTCGTCGAAGCCAGGAAAGTCCCCAACATCTCGCTGGTCTCGAACCTTTCCGAAACGACAAAGGAAAAAGGAAAGGGACAACAAAAACAACAAAGCAGACGTTAAGGAAGGAACGTAGCGCTGGAAACATGGAAATGCGAGGAAATTGAGGTGAGCAGGAGAAAGAGAGGAGGTGTGTTACGATGAAGCTCCGGTGTCCATGGTTCACCGTTTCTGCTCGTGGAAGGGGGAAGAGAGATGGATATCAAAACCTGAATTTGTCGCAGAGACAAGAGAAGAGGATCCGCAGACAACAAGACAGAGCACACACAGAGAGACGTGGAGAACGAGACCGATCTCGTTGGTTTTGCGTGGTGATGATGGCTTTTATATAACGCGAAACGGACTTGCACCGGTTTCTATTGCACTAGAAGCACCACAACGCAGGCAGGTAGCTGGGTGACTCTTCGTCTTTTTTGCTTTCTTTTCTTTCTTTTTTTTTTTATAAATATTTCCCTAGAATTTTGACGTGGCTTCACATGAATGGCTGGTTGCCGTCATTTTAGCTGCGTTTTGCGACAAAGTGATGTGGCGGCGAGTCTCTGTCGCTTTCCATAAAAATTCATACAGTTTCTTCGCATTACGTATTCTTACCGACAATTTCACTTCGTTATGTAATAATTCGAGCGTTTCGAAATTATACGGGTCGGAAGTAAATTAATCATTACACATTCAACCAAAAATAAAATGAAATATAACACTCTTTAATACCGAACCCATAAGCGAATATGATGCGTAACTATTGCTTATCAACCATACATCTATAAACCGCGATGTTCCGTCCATTCGATACCATCGTTGCCTCGAAGAGTTATGACTTTAGATGATTCGGGAAGGGAATCCATACACTTAGCACAGGTTGGATGATTAATTCGAGTTATTTTTTTTTTATATAATTTATAAATCGTGCGAATCGCTTATATATATAGCCGTTCGTTATTCGTGTCCACGTGATCAATAGTCTTACGCGAAAGCCATTTCAATAAACAAAATCATTGTAAATAGCCATTGGACTACGTACGATGCGAGGCTATGTCTACGCGACGGAATGAAACGTAGTTTGAAACAATGGGAATGTCGGAAATTGAGGTGAGCAGGAGAAGGGAGGAGGAGGTGAGTTGCGATGAAGCTTCGGTGTTCCACGTGTGAATGAATGGATATCAACCCCGAATTTGTCGCCTCGTAAAGTGGGGTCAAGTCGGTTGAGTCGGAGATCCGCCGAAGATTTGAGGCCATGCCTGGATCTTGCCGAGATGGAGGACGTTGATTTCCAGAGAGACAAAAGAAGAATAAATGATAAAAGGACAGCGCACGTGGGTTAATTAGCCAAATTACATGACTTACGGGACGCTTTCGATACGGGAGACGAGCTGGGCATGGTTGCCAAATTACATTTCGGCAAACTCTAGTTTTGAAATCCCTTTTTTCTTTCCAAGAGTTGCTTTTATTGCTTGTATTTTCTCCGTATTCTTTATTGTCCACGTCAGTGCCGGCCGTGTCACGTAGGATGGCCTGAGTACACGTTAGCAATTTCCAGCCAAAATTGACCGGATGAACTATATTGGCAAATTGTCAAAATGTTTAAGACTCAATTGGCTAAATTAACAAAGAAAATTGATCAAATTAAAAAGTTTAAGACTAAATTGACACAAATGCAATAAATTTATGACTTTTTTGGTAGTTTCCCCCTTAAATTTTGGACTTTGAATCACTAAAGTAAATTCTTATCACTTTGACCATAATTTATATATACTAATTTTGGAAAGCTCGTGTCACTATAACAAAGTGGTCTCCAGATAAAAGATCCATTAACTCACCACGTTATCTATCAACTAATCCATTTAACAATTAAATTAACGGAGAATTCATTTTTTTTTTATAAAAGAAGCTAATTGAGAAGTCTCTTCGTTAAAGTTTTATAATTCGAGATATTGTAACAAGAATATGAATAATTATAAGTTTTTATGATTTTTGGTCTTCTAGTATTATGAGGAACATGGTCGTACAGGGTCAATAGTAATTACAAAGCTCATTCCGGAAGGCTTAATGTTTTTATTTTTATTTTTACAAATCAGGAAAATACATCATCAATATGAGCGTCATTGTTTTGCTAGCCTAAAAAGGTGTTTACCGTTGGCGAAAATAAGAACATTAACTCATAGTTCTTGACATCTTGCACCATACTCGCTTCTCTAATTCTCACCAAGAACTTCCACGAAATTTGTCCAACCTAACTAACCCCCTTGGTCTTCTGGCTAAAAAGTTAATAAACGCGAGGAAGAAAATAGGTAGCCACTGATTATTTAATTACATAGTGGACGGAAAATTAAGCTATAGCACTAGTCGAGATTCGTCAACTCGCGAATTGTATGGTCTTGGCCGTTACGTTCGCATGTTTTTGGATTGATCTGGAGACGGTGGCGAGGAAACAGATTTCTTAGACAATTTCAAATGGAGGCACGAATGTATTGCATCATTATTTGGCTCAGGTTGACTCCACCAAGTTAATTTGCGGCATAATTTCATTAAAAACCCTAAATTTTAGGTCATTTCATAATTCTACCCCGAAACTATTTTTTGTCTCAAGAAAACTCATCAATTTTCGTTTCATTCTCAAATCTACCCTCCGTTCTTTTCCGTCTAATTGTACCGCTATTTAACTCATCACGTTTTCTATCATACCATCGTTTTGATAGTCTATTATACAATTAGACTAACGGAGAACTTTTTTCTATGGAAAAGAACAACAAAACAAAGCAAAAGTGAGGGAAGAAGATGTCCACTGTATTTGATATGACTCGGAATTGAAAAACTTTTCAATAATTTCCAAAGATCACATCAACTCCAAATCAGGGGCTTGCGCCTGTTTGTCAGTCGTGGACCAACGGCATCACCGGCTAGTAGGCATCTATGGCTGGTCGGCTAGGCTACGCCTCGTTCAAGCCCCTGATTTGGACGAGCAATGACGGAGTTCTACGATGGCTTGACTGAAATGGGAGAGGCCAGATTTGGATTCTCCATATCTGGATGAGCGACGCTGCAGCCGATCGCGAGCAACGTTGGAGGGGGTGGCTCGAGCCAACCGCGTGCAACGTTGGAAGGGGTGGAGATTGTTTGACTGCCATCTATCCTTCCCAGACCTACATCGTGATTCCTCCGCTGCTCCATGGCCTCCTCGACTAGTCTCGGATAGCGCTCCTCTCTAACCTCCACCTCGGCTCGCCTCCGTGACTGCCGATTGCTCTTCGGCAAGTCGCACCCGAAAAGGCTCGCTTGCCCCCTCCCTCCTCTTGCGGAGCGCTCCCACTGCACCACACCCCTCCACTGGCTCTTCAGGGCCCGTTTGGTAACGTGCCAAATAGTGAAAATTTCTGTTCTTTTGTTCCCAGAAATAGTTTGGGAACAGAAATGCGTTTGGTAAACTTTTTGTTCCTCGGCACATTTTTGCAAAAATTTGTACCGAGAAACAGTTTTGGAAGAGAAACAAGAAGTAAAAAACAATTGCTTCTTGTTTCTTGACACAATTTTGAGAATCAATTTTTTTTTTCTTTTTTTTTTCTTTTCTTATTTTTGTGTTGTTTTTCCCCTGGCCGAGCCGGCCGCCGCCGCCGGCGGCCGGCGGCCCACCGGCCACACCCCAGACCGGCGGAGGCGAGTCGCCCTCGCCGCGAGGGCGAGGGTCGGACCCTCGCCGCCCGGGCGAGGCGGCCTCGCCCGGATCGAGCGAGGCCGAGCCTCGCCGTCGGGTCTCGACGGCGAGGTCGGCCTCGCCCAGGCGGCGAGGGCGACCCTCGCCTCCGCCGGCGGTCGGTGAGGGCCGTGACGCCCTCGCCGACCATGGCAAATGAAGAAAATGGGTAAAAAAAAAAATTAAACAATTCAAAATATTATTAAAATATTATTTGGGAACAGAAATTTTGTGTAGTTACCAAACGCATTTCTGTTTTTTTCTACTCTAGGAATAGAAATTTTGGACAGTTTATCAAACGCCTTCAAATACTCAGAAATTGTTTCCGGGCACAGAATAAAAAAAAATCATTTCTGTTTAGAAATAGCTCCCGGGCACAAAATGGTATTCATGCGCACCCTCAGCGGCTTTAAGCTTATCAGTGAGGCGGGTCTTCGATCTCTTGTAAGGCAAAGGAGAGAGCAACAACAGCTCCTGCAGGGCGAGTGAGTTGCTGGAGGATCTCACAGAGAGCTGAAGGCAAAGGGTTCTTCTTGAGAGACAAAGGGATCAAAATTGGTGGCGTCATCAGTGGCTCGAGGATGGAAATTATGGCAGCTCGGGCGATGGAGACGGCCGAGCTTGATTATCGAATGGCCGGATATCTGTGGAATTGAAGGCAAAGGGAGGCAAAGGGAGAGAGGAGGAAGGGAGAGACAAACGAATTTTTTATCTTGTCATCACTTTCCAAAGACAATTTTCAATTTCATCACCCGCATGCGCTACGAGTTCCATCCATTTGAGCGGCCAAAAGAAATTCCATACGTGGAATTGAAAAATGCCTTGTGACGGTAGAATTAATAAAAGTCCAACAAAAATTGCCTAAAGTATTCCAACAAAAAAATTGCGTCCTTCCGACAGAGAAACCGCTAGACAGAACAATCAACGACTAGTCTACTAAGTATTTTTTAAATGCATGCAACTATAAAAACCATGTGACGGATAATTGAGTGAATCAAACATTGTTTTTGGTTTCTCTAGGTTTGACTTTGCATGCACTAGCACTTGTCTAATATTAAATCTTGAGAACTTTCTAATGAACTCTTTTTTTATTGGTAATTGACCATTACACTGTTCGTGTAAACAGCGCAAGTCCCAATAAGTGAGACATCGCTCCACTCTCGTGAAGAAAAGGCGACAGAGCTAATGCGAGGTCCCTACACTACTCCCGAAAGAAACGAACATCGAAGGACCTTCATCTTCATCTCCTTCGGATCAAAAGGCAAGAGAGCTATGTCGCTATCCTTGCCATCCTGCAAATGGAACAAAAGGTTCTGCTTGCTGAATGGTTCTACTGGCTGAAAAATAGGAAAGAGAGAAGCACTTTTTGTTGTTAGATGAGTGAGAGAATATATTAGCACCTCCCAGATGAGTAATGATCTTTCATCCCCATGCCAGCGTCTGAGCAAATGAACAGCTAGGCCAAGTCGCAAACTCCAGTGAGGACAAAATACAATGCACGGCTCCTGCCAATGAAGTCTGCGCACATTCGAACAGCTATCAGAGGACAAGATTAGGTGACAAGTTGCACAGTCAAAAGAAAAGGTTATCGTACAATAGCTTAGGTGAGTAAATTGCAGGATACACGTGCAGCCTTTCTCCATTCAAAAGCTCGACATGTGCAAATAATGGCTCACCAGAGAACAACTGTGAAGGACATAAAATCAACAAAAAAACTGCGTTTAGTAGGGATGTGAATAATCAGTTGGAGACTTCCTACATATATAAATCATGTGCCCACAGTTACGTACCTTTCCTTGCCTTTGTTTGCACACCCACTCAGGTATTATGTTGTCATATGCCAATTACTCTTCCGCTACCGACAAGATAACAAATATTGGAACCTATGGAAAGATCAAATGGTATTACAAGGACATTTTTTAGTTATAAGACAAAGAACTCTGAAGAACCATTTTTCCGAAAATATTGATTGCCTTTTTCATTCTGGAATATCTCATTCAGGAAGTACATTGGACATAGACTTCACTTGCAGCAGTGAGAGCGACCAGAACTCCAGTTCGCAAAAGCAATTGCAAAAAATAAAATCCAGAGACTAAAATTGCATGATCACCTAGGAGACAACACTACTACCAGGTTGACCACAGCCAATGATTATTATCCAGGAAAACAAAAGGAGGACTATGTTTTTTGCTGTCTGTGGTTCTGAAGCACAAGATCGCATTGCTGTTCAAAAGGAGTTCCCACATTTTTACACTGTAAAACCCATCACACAAGCGAGACCAGTAAACTGAATATACAATCTGCAGAATCAGCAACTCTCATCAAGTTAGATTGGTTTACAGTTAAAATGTGGCAACAGCCAATCAAACTAACTAATACACCATCAAATCCTAACCAGATGAAGACATGCTCAGGGCATCCAATGTGGACAAAGTGCCATATATAGAGTAATTATAGCTTGTTCAGGGTTTTAGCAGCGGGTTTAAACATAGCATACTAATTCATCACCTGACTTTTTTGAAGGTGCAACTAAAGGAAACAACATAAGCATATAGTTCGGTCTAGGTGATTTTCATCATCCCCCCAAAAAAAAATTGGTCTAGGTGATTTTCTTGCGCAGGAACACAAATAGTTCGGGCTTTTTTATCACCATCATTAAGTTCATTTCAAGTGAAATTTGAACTTTATGCTTGTAGCATCAGCTTTATCTGATATCCACTGAAGTAAGAGAAGACCGATGTCACAGTATAAATTTTAGATGCAAACCAATGGAATACCTTATAATGTGATGATTCCAGGCAAATAGATATCTGCTCCAAGAGTTGTAGGATGATTCCAAGTCGTCCTCTAGGAATGAGTACTGAACCACCGGCTTTAACAGCATCAACTGCACGGGAGCATATAAAGTTCAATTTGTCCATTTCCTCTGAGCTCTCATCAGCATGAAGAAAGAAACTCACAGTTTAATTTCATAGATGCCAAGTGTCAAAAGCTACCGTATTAGAAAATACGAAGAGCTGGAAGAATCAAATGGTACTACACTGTACAACCATGCATTTGGTCATAATACTCACAACCCAAGAGGAGATATACTCGATAAAACAAGTTACCTCGAAGTTGAAGAATCCTCAGGAGCAGTTTAATAACTCCCCTTATCGGAAGGTTCCAGTATATCCAGAGATGAAAAATCTGAATACATTAGCACATCGCATGATTGAAGAGCATTATAATTAAACTCCAAAGCATGACCAGGAACAAATTCAGAGCTCAAGACAAATCTTATCGTTCCATCCGGATATCTTATTGTCCAATTACAGGCTCCTATTTCCAATCCGGAGCTGATGCGTGATCACAACTCGGAAGATGCAAGGATACCAACACTTCATAATCTTTAAATGGCTGAAGCTTCTGACCACAAGATGTGAGCCTTTGCGCATTTAATTTAGAGATGCAGAACCTATCAAGAAAATCATCTAACAAGAAAAGGCATTTTAAGCCTTGGCTGCAGGACAGAACTCCCAACATCAAAATTTAATCTGGATCTCGGGAGATTAAAGCATAATATAAAGGCTTACCAAGCCGACAGCCCATTAAAATGTTTGGGTTCTATCCTGACTAAGGGAGGGCTGAGAGAAAAAACTAGTATTTGTGCTTTGAAGATAGTTACAATGAGGGTCTAAGCCATGATAAACTATCAAGCCACATCTTGTATGCGATTTAGCTATGGAACAGAACTACTTCACAAAGGCTGCTACTTACCTATACAATGGCATCCATCCACCAAGTTCAATCCCATCAGTGCCCAATACTATCTCCTTCAATGCATAAGGAAGTGATTCGAGCTCCTCCCACTTCATCCAGTGAGGACTACTGAATTCTTCAGACCCATAAAACTGCCTGAATTCCTCATGCATTGAAACAAGGTCCTCCATCATAAGTTTCCCAAGTTTCGCTGCCGCCTCGTTTACATACACCTAAGGTAAAAGCACGAATCTTTAAGCAAGTTACAATCTTTTAATGCACAAGCCCAAGACCAAGCGAAAATTAAACGAACACTCGACCATATACGTAAAAATTACTCCAAATTCAATCAACGAGATGAAGATTACCTTCGCCGAGAAGCCCTTCGCTTGAGTGAGAAACGGCAACCCGAGCATCCCAGCGGGGGGCTCGAGATCAACACTACATCGATGAACGAGAGGTTCCACAAGTGCAGGTTCGCCACAGTTTTGTACCACGGTTCAGAACGAATCAAAGCCTTTGCATTCATGGGTTTCTCACAGCCATCGGATTCATCAACTGAATGTTCCAAACCTTCTTCATCTTGCTCAGCAGAAAATCCGGGAGGTATAGGGGCGAAAACAGCGAGAGCAGACAGGTGTAGGGGACAATCAATCAAGATCCTAAACCCACAGACGCTCAGCATGTGACAAGGGGGAAAGTAGAACCCTTTACCTCTGCTCAAGCATGTCTGCACAAAAGGGTATGTTCCAAACTCAAAATTAAACTGGACGTGAGCACCACATACGTCGATTGACAAAGAGGAGGCGCATAAGAACAACACCAGTTACAGAGAGAGACTTACCAACTTCATGAAGCCAAACCAAGGTGGAGACTTCTTACAGAAAATCTACAGAAAGTGATCAAATAGAACGAGGAGAATTCACACGGGCTCCGGCGCTCTTGTCCTCGGACGGAGATCAAAGGAAGGAGAGTGGAGGGTTTTTGGGTTATTGAGGTTTTCACTCTTCAGGCGAGAAGGAAGGAAAATGAGCACAGAGACCGGGAAGCTCTCAAACAACAACACAACGAGAACTTTTTATTATTATTTAAATGGTTGTTTAAATTATATATTCAGAAATGGAAATTGCAAACCTGGACAAGAACTTCAGTATCGTTAAGGAAGATTTTTTTTAAAATATACTTCTTATTAAGATCTATCGGGTGCGGGAGACATAACAGAATGAATAGATTAATCATTCGGTATCAACGACTTCACATCCTATTATGATCCATTTTCTGTTTAAGAAAATCGAGTTGAATCGAAGGGCATGATTAGTATAGCAAAAATCACATTGTGTAATCCTAGTTAATTCGCGATTTTATATGAGATCTTTCAAAGTTAAGGCCACTTGGGATTCTGGACGAAAGATATGGTTTATCGCATTAAGCTCCCAACCGAAGTATTATAAGAGCTGAAAAAAAGTATTCTAAGAGCTGATGATGACGATGATTATTGGGAAAATGACACAAACAGTTCCTAAATTTTGAAATAATGTGTAATTTGATCTCTAAACTTTTAATTTGTTCAATGTAGTCCCTGAATTTTGGCCTAATGTTCAATTTGATCCCTGAACTTTTAATTTGTTCTATGTGATCTGTGAACTTTTAATACATGTTCAATTTAATCCCTGAACTATTTGAAAATATTCAATATAGTCATTTCATTAATTCAAGTTCAGGGACTACATTGAACAGTTTCATATAGTTCAGGGACTAAATTGAACAAATACTAAAAGTTCTGGGACCACATTGAATAATTAAAAGTTCAGGGACCAAATTGAATATTAGGCTAAAGTTCAGGGATTACATTGAACAAATCAAAAATTCATGGACCAAATTGCACATTGAACTAAAGTTCAAGGACTGTTTGTATCATTATCCCATAATTATATATCTATCCTCTAGAAACTAAAAAAAATGAATAAAAATAATAATAATAGCAATTTTGGTTTTTGGTAGAACTGCTGAGAAGATTTGTGTGGATATTACGCTTGAAGCGGTCTTATTAAGAGGAAGTATCTTTCTGCAGCTAAATTTTTTAAGTTTCCTCAATGAATATTTGGTTGTGTACAAGGCGACAGTTGAATTTCTTACTCACAAATTTAGATATGAATCTAATATTCCCAGCCTTTCCAGATATATGACCCATAGACCCTTCGTTAATTTCTGTTAAATTTTACTGTCAAGTTGCTTTGTTAAATGACACGTGGTAGTTGACAGATGTACTAGTTTTGGGTTTTACCCTCTGTTTGTCACATGTGTACTAGTTTGTGATTTTTTTTTGTATTAATCCAATTTAACAGAAATTAACGGAAGGTAAATTTGTCACAAATGTACCAGTTTTGGGTTTTTTGTGGTCAAAAAATTAATTTAGGGTAAATTTATCACATGTGTACCAGTTTGGAGTTTTTGGTGGTCAGAAAATTAATTTATGGTAAATTTATCACATGTGTACCAGTTTGGGGTTTTCGTGGTATTAACCTTTTTTTTATTTAAATTTTGACATTGTGATGTTGGAAATTTAGTGAGGGCCAATGGACACGGGTGCTAATATTTAAATATTTTACTTATTTGCCTGTAAAAAATCACTCCTTTTCCTTTTCTTTTGTCGAATAAGTAAATATTTATGTTTGATCTTACCCCTCGTTACTGAAAGCTTAATTTTACGTTTAAACATTGAATAAAATCTTCTAAAGATTTATTCATTTATTTGTGAAACAATTATTACTTGATAAGTCAAGCTGAGACAGAAAAATTATCACTATTAGGGATATTAGCAATTCATTACCCGTGACATCTACATACGAAATGTAACTTAATTTTTCTTTTCACATAAAAAGATTAAACTTGGAGAAGATTCAAAGCAAAAGTCGATTATCTCATTGTAAACTTTACAAATTGTAAAATTTTGTCAAGAAAAACAAAAGCTAATTACATTCCCACAGAAAAGAGATTGAAAATGTTATATGTGCTAAGAAATTTTACTAAAGTTTACTATGACGTGGCAATTGGGTTGGATATTGAAATAAGTTGGGACTCGTGAATTGAACAATTAACTTTAAACAACCAATAGGAAATTGCAATAATTTATTAAGTAACTTTTTAGGGAGCGTTTGTTTAGTGGAAAAAGAATGATTGGGAAAACATATTCCTAAAGATAATAGCTTGTTTCGCTTAAAATAATTAGTCAATGACAAATATTTTGATTATCGATAACAATTTATGCCTAAATTTTTTCGTGAACGATGAAAATATTTTTCGTTTATTCATTTTTATAAGCAATACAAGCTATTGTTTTTAGAAAAATATTTTCCAAATCAATCATTTACCGTAAAACAAATGAGTATATAACTCAATAGTTTTACTTTTATCTCCTTGACTATGTTTAATTAGCAATAACAATAACTTAGTAGACAAGTTTTAACTATAAGATTGAATAAAAATTATTAATCTCAACATCCATGAAATAAAAATTCACTATACATAATACAACTCTCACATGTGATTTTCATGTATGAATATCTTCTAATGTTCCGACCACCTGTTCTGTTATTCTAAGTTATCCCATTCTTAATCGCTTTCTTTAGCCCAATTTTTGAATCACTGGAAATTACAACTGTACTCCTAAATTATATATATTTCATATAATTTGTCTATATTTTAGAGATATCAAGATTTTGTATTTTTATTTATATTATAGAGCCCCGTGCATCGATGGGTTCAATTCCAGGAAATAAGTTGATCAGATCTATAATTATGATACTTTTGGTACACAGAACTCCTTCTTGAATGGAATGCATTTGCAAGGCCATAATCCCATCTTTACTGTTCGGTGAACGAATTGTGAAAAAGGAATTTTGATTCCTTCTATAAAATTAATATTTCCCAACTTTGGTACCTAAATCTCGACTCCTTTCTTCTCTGGGCTCATTTTACCCTCTTAAGCAAGGCTAAACATTTTGGTTGGTACTTACCAAAAAAAAAAAAAACATTTTGGTTGGTGTATTCTAAGTTGGGAAACAAATAATTAACTCGGAGGGAAAAAGATACTTGAATCCAGATGTTTGTCGAGTTACTACTATCAATGGCTAGTCTCTCCTTTTTAATATTATTTTGCTACACTCCTTTTAACAATTGAGGCAAACATTAGTGTACTCTTTTAAAAAGAAAATGTATTTCAGGAGAGTGAAGATTCTCATTCTATATCATATATAGGTGATAAAGAAATTCAAACGCTACTATTTAAAATGATATATGATATATCTCATAATACAAAGACATCTTGTCAACACAAAGATAAATTCTAAATTCATCACTCGCAAGCGGTATAAGTTCCATCCATTCATTGTCTGCCCATGGGGACCTCGATGCCACATCAATCCTAGATCCCTCTATTCCCGTGTATGTGTCCCAATCTGACATGTATAGGATCTCGACTCACTCCTTATTAATGCTAAACTTTTAAAAAGTCAAAAGTACAGTGTTATCAACCTAAATAAGTGACATCGATTGGGACACAATAAGGGGATCAATTTGTGATTTCCATGCTGTCCATTCTTTTAACCACAGGCTAAAGCTCGAATTCTTAGCCACAACATCAGCAGACACCTCTCTTCCTTCAACCAGGTTCATTGCATAAGTTTCAAACTTATTGAGTCCATCCCAAAGAAAAGCCAGGTTTCTAGGGTCACTCTGACACTTAATGTTGTCCAGCCACTCCTTTGCTTCCTCCACCCTTGCCCAAAAGCAAGCGTCTTGGGTCAAGCCTGCATACCTGATCCTCCTATTATTGCCCAGTTTCTCGGTAACAACTCTCTCAGTCCACCACTGATCGAAAATTTTGTACCTCCTCTCTCTTCCATTGCTTATGTAGTGGCCTTTCTTAAGGTGCATCCTTGACCGATAATACTCCGCGATATCCAATGGCTCCACAAGAAGCATGTAGGACTGCGCCGCGTTTACCCATTTGGACCTTTTGTGCAAATCGTGTGGGAGCTCTTTCCCGTCCATCAAGTGTATGACATTGTCCCAAAAGGCCGCAAGCTTGTACCGATTCATGTTTACATGGGACTCTCTCCTTGAGGCCCCCCTCTGCTTGAAAGAATCATAGTATCCTCTTTGCTCGTTGGACTTATCGCAGCAAGCTTTATACCACTCTATCTCCACCCTATAAGGAGTGATTTTGGAGAGCCTATTGGCTAAGTCGGCAGTGTTTAGGTTCGGCGCGAGCCCCATTCGCCTCGTCATCTTCAAGCAATCTTTTGTCATCGGTGCAATCAATACCTGCAAAGTAGGGGATCAAAGAACTTTTAAACTCGAGGAGTTGCACCCAAGAATAAAACATAGATCGATACATTTACAGAACGCGATCACTCGACGATTTTAGGTGCCGTGTTCCTACCTGTCGATAAGTCCCTGAGGAGTTCAAATCCAATGAAAGACTTGCTTCATAGCTTGATTTAGAGAGATCTCCTTCCATGAAGCTTCTCTTCAAAGACTGAAGACTCAGTCTCTCAACATACCACCCATAATTAAGGTGCTCCTCAATGATACAATTTGGGGAGCCTGTCCTTAGCATCAAATGCATCATCTTGTTGACCGATACAGCGTTGTCCAAACAAATGGCGCCCTCATCTGAACAAAACAAGTAATTCCCAAATGGCCAAAACGACCTCCCTCCCTCGCCTTCCCCTGCCTGCGCTAGGCGCTCCATGTCAGCCGCAACGGAGGAAAATAACCGGGCTTTGTCTTCTTCATTTAATTGGAGGTTAGCCAAATTCATAGAGTTCGGTGACATCATAGACGTGTACCAGAATCTTATGAGGGCCTGCCACTGGGGAGTCAGAACAAGTGATTGGTCGAGAGATAACCTCGGCATTATATCATGCGTCGACACGACGTTGCAGAAGCTGCCGCCCCATCTTTCGCGGAGGACGGCTTGGGAAAGCGACTCATTGCCGAGGAAAGGAGAGCCGAAACCAATGCATAAGACCGACAGGGGTGAGAAGATGGATTTGAGGTAGGAGAGGAGCCAAAGAGCGGTGAGTAATACCACTGATCCTCCTAGGGAATGGCCTGTGATCACTATTGACTTGGTTTCAGCTAGCAAGCTACGAATCTGCATTCATATATAAGATTTGCTTAAATCTAGTTAAACGCTTCCCAAAAAAATCTCGATGGCAAGGCTTCCAAAGCTTCGCTGAAAAAATCAACTTACGCCGGATCATGTCAAATCAGAAAGAATTGCACGGATAGATCTAGTTGAAAATCATTGGTCGTATACAGAACTGTTTATTTAACAAGTAAAACAACACCAACATGGTTCAGCAAGTGATGATGAGTGTGCAAATACGTTTAACACGTGTATAGAATGTATTTACACGTATGGCTTTTTTATTTAGATGATCTATGAGAAGAATACCGTTCATGACCAGAAGATCTGTCTCATGAACGGGTGGATTTAATATAACTCCAAGCCAAAATCATCTGTCTCATGAACGGGCCATTCGTAACATCGCCCTCGCGAAAGTTTTAGATGGCTTCAAGAAAGAAGCTCCGAAATTAAAATAAAAAATAAAAAATTAACCACTAGCGTCATCAGCCTTGCGAAAAGAGTCAAGAACGATATGAAAGGATGATTTGTGTTTTTGCTAAAGGCACCTTTGTTTCGTGGAAAACTTAATTACGAAGGAAAATATTTTTCAAAAAATTATTTTCCAGAAATATACTTAGTTTTCCTTTATTTAGTGATCTACAATGAAAATCGTTTTCTGATATTTGGATTCCATTGAAAAATGATTTAAATCTCATGATTTTATTTTAGGAAAAAAATGATTTTTAAATATTTTTATTTTTTAAAAATCGAATTTTTAATTATTTTTTATTTTCTTTTTTAAAAAAAATTGAATTTTTTTAATTTTATTTTTTTTCTTTTCTTTTTCTTTTTTCTTTTCTTTCCTTTTCTTTTTCCTCCTCCCTCCTCCTCCCTCCACCGCGACCGGCCAGCAACGGCCACTGGCGAGCTCGAGGCTCGCTCGGCGATGGCCACAGGCGAGCTCGAGGCTCGCTCGGCGATGGCCACAGGCGAGCTCGAGCTCACCGGCCTCGCCTGGATCTGGCGAGCCGCGAGCTCGCCGGCCCCGGCAAGCCGCGAGCTCGCCGGTCTCGGCGGAGCCCGGGCTCGCCTGGATCGGCGGAGCCTCGAGCTCGCCGGCCTCGGGCGAGCTCGAGGTTCGCCTGGATCGGCCCCGCCTCGAGCTCGCCGGCCGTTGCCGTAGCCGGCGACCGGCCTGAGGAAGAAGAAAAAGGAAAAGGAAAGAAAAGAAAAAAGGAAAAAATTATAGGAATCACTAGTCTTAGAATCTAGTTGGACGAAAATAAAGATTTGATTTTCGTGAGTGATCTGATCGGTTCTGCGATACCCTTTTTATTTATACTTTATTTATTATCATTTTTTCTCATTAAATTCAATACATGGGTTTTATTCACATAATATCTCAGATATGAAGAAGAAAAGGTTGTTTTTGACACTAACCTGGCTTTGGAAATCCGGACGCGAATGATATTGAAGGAAGAGGTGAAGCACTCCAGAGTGGACCATGACCGGCTCCTCGTCGTCGTAACGGCATTTCAGCGGCGCGAACAGCCCGTGGCCTGCTACGTCCAGCGGCACCAGCATGCCGTAGTTCGGATCCCAACCGAGCACCGGCGTCTCCTGGATGCCCGAGAATGCCACGTACCCCACGCCCCCGACTTGCTCCGCCGCGAAGGCACCGCACCCCATCGCGCTCGCGGTGCCGGCCAGCCTCCACGCCTCCTTCAGCAGCGGGGTCGAAGCCAGGAAAGTCCCCAACATCTCGCTGGTCTCGAACCTTGCCGAAACGACAAAGGAAAAGGATAAGAAAAAAAGAACAGAAGAAGCAAAAGTTAGGGAAGAAAGGAGGAGAAGGGAGGATGTCGTTACGATGGAGCTTGGGTGTCCATGATGGATATCGATTCGGGCAGAGCTATAAAGGCGGAATGAATATCAACTCGGCTTTGCACTGATCCCGGGGAAGAGGTATGCCCAAGAACAGGAAGGGAAATAGATCTTGAAGACAAGTGGTGATTACAGCTTGAAGAGAACCACTCAGTCCTGATGAAAAAGGAGAAGCAAGAACTTTCCGGGAAGATAAAGCATGAAACAGTCATCTAGGGCATGAAAATGAAACAGTAATCTAGGGCATGAAACACTCAACATCAGCCATGCATTGAACCATTCGGTGCATGGCACGTGCCAAAAACCGAGCCTCTAATCATCACAGGATTTGACGAGGGATCACCAATTTCAGGTCCTCTAATCAAAACCTCCATTGTTCTTCTTTTTAATTCTCCGTGCTCAACAAAAATTCAAGAAATGAAGAAATCTTCAACGGACTAACAAAGGGGAAAACAAAAATCAAACCGTGAAGGTGGAATTCGACGAAGGAGTGGTTGTTGTGCTCTGTCTCTTTGCCGATTCAACCGTTGTCTCGCGCACAGGCACACCACTGCGACTTGCGCCTCGATCCAAGGTCGCCCATTGTGTTGCCATGAGGGATCGAGGTCGCCGACGCCATGGGCAACCATATTGAGGTCGCCATTTGGACATGGAGACCCTCTGATTGAGTTCGCGACCGCCGTGGCGTCCTCAGATCTCGGTTGGCCATGGCGTCGCAACCTCGATTCTTGGTCGTGACTGCCACTGCGACACCCTCATGGTGACAAGGAGCTAAGGTCGCGGAGGTGTGGAGCCGGAGAGGTGTGGAGTCGTGAACTTGCTGTGAACGGAGGGAGAACTTAGGGTGCGTTTGTTTAGGGGAAAGTGTTTTTCGAGAATCCGTTTTTCCGGACTTTCACCTGTTTGATTCGCCGAAAATGATAAATCAGCCGAAAACACTTTCCAGTAAAAGAAAACATTCATGTATAAAATTAGAAAAGTGAATTTCTTAATCTAAGAAGATGAAAACGTTTTTCGAAATTGCTTCCCATGACTTTTTAAATATTTTATTCGTTTCTTTCTTGTTATTTTTTATTTTTAAAAATAAAAATATTAAAAAATTTGAAATTCTTTTTTTGCTTGAGATAAAATCATGAGATTGAAATCACTTTCCAAATAAGATTCAAACATCATATCACCGAACAAAGGAATACTAATTTTTTTTCTTGAAAAATGATTTTCCTAAAAATATTTTTCAAAAATATTACGTTTTTCCGTAAAACAAACGCATCCTTAGAGAGAGAACCCTCCAATGGGTTGGTGGAGTGGTAAAGGCTTTGGGCTTGTGGGTTATTGATCCCAAGTTCGAGACCCCCTACCTTCCACCTTATCATACTCTTGTACTGCGGTGGGAATGGAAGTCCGGGTCATTAAAAAAAAAAAAAAAAACAAAGGAACTTAGAGAAAAAGAGAGAGGTAGGAGAAAGAGAAGGTGAGTTGAAAATTGTGACGGTGGGCCGGTTCTCGCCATGTGTCAGCTTCCGGATGGTTCAATGCATGGCTGACATGGTGGTCACGTATTATCTATGAAAGCCAGAACTCGAATCTTTTAATGCACAGAACTAGAACGCCACGCGAGGTATGATTGACCCAATTCATCGCTGCTTTTAGTATGTCCTTTGGATTTATGTGCGCCTGAAGGGCTTAGATTTTAGCAGTTTCTAGGTTTGAATTTTCATGCACTAGTATCATATTAAATCTTCAGAAATTTCGCATGAACCATCGCCTCGTTAATTGACCGGAGGCCATTAAAAAGCACTTTTTTTTGGGTAAAAAATGAAAAGAACTTTAGGACGAGGGCTTCCGTGAATTTCGGCGTTTTGTTCTTTTTCTGTCAAATGTTTCGATCTCATCTGCAAATACAGTATCCCCGACGTGGGAGTGTCTTTGCGTTTGCGTTGCGGCTCTCACCGGATAGCTAGACATTTTCGAAGACCTGTCCAGCCAGAAAGACTTCTAAATTTTTATTTTTAGTTATGTTCTTTCTTCTTATGGTATTCGAATTTTGACATGTATATTAATTTTGTACACTCCGAAACTTATGAGATCTTTTTAGAATCTTGGGGAAACTATTTCAACCTCTTAAAACTAAAAGTATTTTTTTTATTCCAGTGAAGCCGAATAATTAACAGTTTTTTTGCTTAATCTCATGACTCCTGTCTCAACTAATCAATGAAGTTACTAGGATATTTTATAGACTCCAAATTCCTGTTTATTCATCTAATATTCGTTTAGTCGTCAATAAAAAGCCATGCCCACTTGCCCAGACAAGTATTGGTCCCGTCTAACGATTTCCAAGACCAGTCCCGTACATAATCTGGAGGATTAAAAGGAAAAAAATTTCAACCGCAGGATAATTTAAAAAGATTGTATCTAACCAACAATTAAAGAAAGTTACTGACCATAAGATTGCCAATGTTACTTTTTTTTATGCTAAAAATTGCCAATGTTACTATTGATTTAGGAAATCTACGATATATGAGGACAATAAATCACCTACATGGCCTTTAAGCTTACGAACATTGAAGGAACGTTACGATCATAGACTTAAGTTATTATAAAAAGAATAAAAAGATCTACAATAGATTCAGGTTAATTACAATTTTTCATGGAAAGTAACGTTATTAAGATATTCAACCTTACGGGACTTTAAGTTAATTACTACGTGTGACAGATGATTACTAACTTGTCATTTACAAGGGCTTATAGGAAAATTACAATTATTAAGGACAATTACCAAGCACCGCTACCATCATTTTACAGTCAATCAGAAATGAAATTCAAATGCAAGAACCAGCAAAATAGGAAAAAAAAAGCCATAAGAAATTAGAAACTTAATTGGGGGCACACCAAAAAGTTTAAAAGCAAAAAGGAAGAAGAGAGAACCCAAGGGAAATTATCAAAAAGTCATAAACTTATTGTACTTTTGTCAATTCAGTTGTAAACCTTTCAATTTTGCTAATTGAGTTATAAACTTTTTCTTGTTTTCCCAATTGAGTCAATCTGGCCAATTTGTCCGAAAATTGCTGATGTGGATGCTAACCGTCTTATGTGACACGGTCAGCGCTGATATGGATAAATTTTAATATGTTTTCGAATTTTTAATTAATTTTTTCTTTTCTTCCTTTTTTTCCAAACCCTGGCTGGTGAGGGCGCAAAGGCTCTCGCTTGGTGTGGGGCAGGGCGTCATTGCTGTAGCAAAGACGAAAGTGCGACGCCGGAGATGGCATCGCCGAGCCTGGACAGTCCTCCACTTCATCAGAGAAGATCATAGTCTCTCTCCCGCATCTGTATTCAGAAAACTCATAAGTTCACGCTTCTTCACACGTCATTTCTCCGATCTGCCAGAATTCCTTCCGATTTTTGTGTCTTATTGCGCGTAAATCAGTTGAAGTCGGAAGCTGCTTTTGGGAAACCTTCCTCAATCATCGTCTTTTTCAGCTAGGGCTCTGTTTTTAAATTCGTTCTATCGATATTTATTTTTGTGCAGATCATGTAGGCTACGTTAGAATCTAAAAGCACAAGTTCCTCAAACTAGCAATTTAGTGCCCCTAAATCTCCATCGTGCGTGCTTCTGTCTCGTGAGAATATTGTTTCCCCAGACACGCTCGATTTGTGCTTCCGTCCTTGTTGACTCGTGGGTCCAATAAGGATTTAAGTCCCCCTCCCCCCAACTATTCGTGCACGCACATTAATGTTTTTATGCATTGATGATATGGTGCATCGTAAACCTGCTCATTTCGACCCAAAAAAAAAAAACCCTGCTAATGATCATGACCAAAAATTTAAAAAACCTGCTCATTATCAATCTCTCAAGACCGATCGACGTAGTTGGTTGAGGACTTGGGATCCAGCCCAAGGTCTAGAGGTCATTTGCTCAAACCCCACCAACTCCATGCAGATTGTTTTGCGTCGGGGTCACCAACACTAATCAAATGTTTGGATTTAACCGTACATTTGACCGTTTTATTGGACTTCTAAAGTGTTCAATGAATCTTCGGGTAATCGAGTATCCATGCCTGTGCCCCTGGGTTATAAAGAAAAACCATTCCTGATCCCAGTAGCACGCTCAACATGTGCAAGCCCATCTAACTTGAAAAAGAAAATGCTCGATTTCAGAAATGTTCTATCCCGTATAATCGAGTTTAAACGTTGCTGGTCTGTTACCTACTCACTCGAATTTCAAAATTAATATACAGCCTTTTGGAGGGTGAAGAACACTAGAAGTACCAAAACTTGCGTACGGCGCTCACTTTAGCGCCGAAAGTTTGTTTCGGATCACTTAAATGCCAAAACTGAAGAAAAACGATCACTTAAGTGCCAACGGCGAGAAATTCCGGCCAAATTAATACGTGGCTTTTTTAATTAAAATTTTAATCTACGTAGCATTTCCAAGTGTATATTTCGAATTTCTCAGTCCTACGTGACATTTCCATGTGTAAATTTCGAATTTTTAATTATTTTTTTGATTATTTTTTCTGTTTTTTCCTTCTTTTCTTTTCTTTTTTCTTCTTCTTCGTTTGGCCAGTGACCGGACACCTGCCACCGGCCATGGCTGGCCGCCTGGCCTCGTCCGGACGAGGCTGCCGTTGCCCGCCACGGGCGAGGCCTGGCTAACCTTCGCTTGGGCGAGGGCAGGCGAGCCCCGGCGAGGGTTCGCCTCGCCTCGCCCAGGCAAGTGCGGCCCCGGCGAGGCGAGGCCGGCCCTCGCCCAGGCCAAGGCGGCCTCGCCTGGGCAAGGGCGAGCCCCGGGGAGACGAGGCCGACCCTCGCCAGATCCGGCGAATATAGCAAGGAATCAGCTGGAAATCTGCCGTTTCTGTGCTGTGTAACTTCTGTGAATAATGTGTGAATGAATCCCCACCCCTGCAAGTTTCCTTCTCTCGTTTCCCCCCTGCCCCCTCTGCCAAAAAGCAAAAGCAGCCCCGTTCTCAAAAGACAGTTTCTTTCTTTCTTTGTGTCACTGTTCTTGTTCTCTTGCGCTCTCTCTCTCTCTCTGACATTATTCTCCTCCTCTCCTCCTTGTCAATCCCAAACCCCACTGAAATTTTTTCATCTTTTTGTATTTTTTTGCCGATGCTCCGTGGAGCCTCTCACAGTGGAGTAGAGAGGAATGCCACCTAATCCAAAACCAGTCTCCTCCCTCCTCTTTAAATCGAGCGCTTCGGTTGACACTGCCTCTCGGGGTCTTGGAAACTCGCCGTCTCGTTCTAAAATCTCCGAAAGTTCCAAACTTTGAGCCTTCCCTGGCTCCGTTGTGCCAAAAAATCCGTTTTTGAGCTTTTGGGTATGCCCCATGATGGCCTCCGTTGAAACTCGCCAGATCTGGCCTCGTCCGGGCAAGGCCAGGCGGCCGGCCATGGCCGGTGGCCGGTGTCCGGTCACCGGCCAAACGAAGAAGAAGAAAGAAAAGAAAAAACGAAAAAAAGAAAAAAGGAAAAAAAAGAAAAAAAATTTAAAAAAATTATTAAATATTATCCTCGTCAGCGCCGACGTACCACATAGGACTGAGAAATTAATAAAATATGGCCACGTCAGATTTCCGGTGATTCAAATCGGAGTTGGCACTTAAGTGATCGT